ACGTTTCCAGCTTGCAGTCTTTCTCTTCTGCTGGAGTGCTGGTGATATGAGTGTTCAGTCTTTTGTTTTGGACCCTTGGGTTTGTTCTCATTGTTGTTTTTAGTGTTTTCTCTCTGTTGTTCTCTTCTTTGACCTTTAATCTCATGGATTCTTTTATCTTTCATCTCTGGCTGCAGTCTCCATCGACCCATTTTTTATATCAGTTCTTGTATTTCTAAGTTCAAAAATTCTCAGATACTTTACTGTGTCTTCTGTTTCTCTGCTGAGACTGTGGTTTAATTTATTTCCAACATGTCCATAGTTGCTTGTGGAAATACTTTTCTGATGTTGCTTTAGAATCCCTGTCTAGTAATCCCATCAGTTTCATCCTGGTTTTGGCATTTGCTTGTATTTTTTATTTAAGAGGAACTTTTCCTGGTTCTTGGCGGGGTGATTCTTCATTGTATCCTGGACAACTCTGGGTCTTGTTTTTGTTTAGTTTTCCCTGATGGTGCCCTGGGAGTAAGAAGCTGATTCCTCTTAGGGCACCTGGGTGGCTCCGTGGGTTCAGCTTCCAACTCTTGATCTCAGCTCACGTGGTGACCTCAGGGTGGTGCGATCAAGCCCCATGTTGGCTTCATGCTGGGCGTGGAGCCTGCTTGAGATTCTCTCTCTCCTTCCCCTCTCACCTTCTGTCTTCCAAAAAAAAGAAAGAAAAACACTGATTCCTGTTACTGCCATGTGAGAGCGAGAGCCCCAATTCCCCACTTGGCCCTAGTTTGTGCCTTGCAGTAGGTACAGACACCTGTCACTGCTGGCTGGGGGTGGGATTTCGCTTCCCTGCACCTGTACCCTGGCTGGGAGAATTAGAGTGGGGTCTTGTTACTGGCCCCCTCTACTGAGCCGGTACAGTTTCCCTTGTTACCTGTGACTCCTCACTTACGTTTTCAGACACTGTTCCAATTAGGGGAAAGCACACTACAGTATAGTTCACTGAGGGATGATGTCCATGCCCCCCTCTTTTTTTAACTAAGTATCATTGACACACAATGTCGTATTAGTTTCAGGTGTGCAACGTAGTGATTTGACAGGTGAATGTTATGCCCAGCACAAGCGTAGCTACCATCTGTGTTGGTATTACAGTATCATTGACCGTATTCCTTAGGCTGTACCTTTTATCTCCATGATTTATCTGCTCCATACTGGAAGCCTGAACCACCCTCTCCCCCAACCCTCCCCTCTGGCAACCATCCCTTCTCTATTTATGGGTCTCTTTCTGCTCTTTGTTTATTCTTTTGCTTAGGTGTTTAGATTCTACATGTAAGTGAAGTCATGTAGCATTTGTCTTTCTCTATCTTATTTCACTTTGCGTAATACCATCTAGCTCCATCCACAATGGAGTCTCGCAAATGGCAAGACTTCATTCTTTTTTGTGGCTGAGTAATAGTCCCTGGTGTGTGTGTGTGTGTGTGTGTGTGTGTCCTCTTCATTATCCATTCATCAGTGGAGAGACCCTTGGGTTGCCTCCATATTTTGGCTACTATAAATAATGCTGCAGTAGACATAGGGATACGATATCTTTATCACTAGTGTTTTTATTTTCTTTGGGTAAATACCCAGTAGTGGAATTATTGGATCATATGGTAATTCTATTTTTAATTTTTGAGGAACCTCCTTACCATTTTCCAGAGTGGCTGCACCATTTTGCATTCCCACCAACAGTGCATGAGGGTTCCCCTTTCTCTGCATGCTCACCAACTCCTGTTTTCTCCTGTGTTGTTAATTTTAGCCATTCCATATCTTAATGTGGTTTTGATTTGTATTTCCTTATGATGAGTGATGTTGAGATATTTTGGTGTGTCTTTTGGCCACATGGATGTCGTCTTTGAAAAAATGCCTATTCAGATCCTCTGCCCATTTTTTAATTGGGTTGTTTGTATGTTTTGGTTATGAGTTGTATATCTTTTGCATATTAACCCCTTCTGAGATGTATCATTTGCAAATATCTTTTTCTATTCAGTAGATTACTTTTTTGTTTTGTCAGTGATTTCCTTCACTATGCAGAAGCTTTTTATTTTGATGTAGTCACAATAGTTTGTTTTCACTTTTGTTTCCATTGTCTCAGGAGACATCTGTAAATATGGTACTAAGGCCGATGTCAATGTGATTTTACTGTATATGTTTTCTTTTAGGAGTTTTATGGATTCAAGTCTCAGTTTAATCCATTAATCCATTTGGAGGTAATTTTTGTGTATGGTATAAGAAGGGGTCTTGTTTCATTCTTTTGCATGTGGCTGTCCCATTTTCACAGCACCATTTGTTGAAGAGACTGTCCTGTTGTCTATTCTTGACTCCTTTGTCACAGATTAACTGACCACATAAGTGTGGGTGTATTTCCAGGCTCTCTGGTCTGTTCCTTTGATCTGCATGTCTGTTTTTGTGCCAGTATCATGCTGTTATGATTCCTACAACTTGGTCATAAATCCTGAAATCTGGGATTGTGATACCTCCAGCTTTGTTCTTATTTCTGAAGATCACTTTGGCTAGTTGAGGTCTTTTGTGGTTCCATACAAATTTTAGTATTATTTGTTCAGTTCTGTGAAAAAAATGTTCTGGTATTTTGATAAGGATTGCATTAAATCTGTCTGTTGCTTTGGGTAGTGTGGACATTTTAATAGTATTAATTATTGTCATCCATGAGCATGGTATGTATTTCCATTTGTTTGTGTCTTCAGTTTTTGTTTTTGTTTTTGTTTTCAGAATACAAGCCTTCCACTTCCTTGGTTCAAATTATCCCTAAGGTATTTTATTATTTTTGGAATATTCGTAAATGGGATTTTTTCCAAATTTCTCTTGCTGCCACTTCATTATGGGTATTTATATTCTTTTTTTTTAAGAGTTTATTTATTTATTTGATAGACAGAGATCACAAGTAGGCAGAGAGGCAGGCAGAGAGAGAGAGGGAAACAGGCTCCCTGCTGAGCAGAGTCTGATGTGGGGCTCGATCCCAGGACCCTGAAATCATGACCTGAGCTGAAGGCAGAGGCTTAACCCACTGAGCCACTCAGGCGCCCGGGTATTTATAGTCTTAAACTACTTCTTGCTGCAGTTTTGGAAGGTTGGGTGTTGGGAGTATTTTATCTGTTTCATGTAAGTTGTCCCATTTCTTGGTGTGAAGTTGGATATGATATCCCCTTATTTCAAGCGCTAAAGAATCTATGGTGATGCCTTTTTTGTTCCTGATATTGGTAATATGCAGTTTCTTTGTTTTATTCTTTTTTTTTAAGATTTTATTTGTTTATTTAACAGAGACCAAGAGAGCACAAGCAGGGGGAGGGGCAGAGGGAGAGAGAGAAGCAGACTTCCTGCTGAGCAGGGAGCCTAATGCGGGGCTCAATCCCAGGACCCTGAGATCACAACGTGAGTGGAACGCAGAGGCTTAACCGACTGAGCCACCCAGGCGCCCCTCCTTGTTTTATTCTTGATCATTTCTTGTAAGGGTTTACTTTTTAAAAATGACTTCGAAAAACCAACTTTGGGCTCTGTTAATATTCTCTTTTTTCTGTTTTCAATTTCATTGATTTCTGCTTTTCTGTTCTACTTTGGGTTTAATTTATAACTTTTTGGAACAGAAGCTTAAATCACTGAATTTAACCCTTTCTAAGACATTTTCAGATGCATGCATTGAGAGCTACAAATTTTCCTCATGACTGCACTGTTTGCATCCTGCCGTTTCCTACATAAGGTTTTGTTTCATTCGCTCCATTTTGTTTCATTCACTTTTCTGATTCCATTTAGAATTATGCTTAATCTCCAGATATTTGAGGAATTTGTATTAGTGTTTTGTCATTAATTTCAGATTTCATTTCTTTGGGGACAGATGGTATGCTCTGTAGGGTTTCAGACCTTGGAATTTATTGAGATGTGTTGCTCTTTTTTCTGAATGTACTTTAAAAGAGAGTGCATTCAGTGGTCGGATAATGTTCAGTAAACACCAGGCTGAGTGAATTGAATCGTGTTTATGTTCTTATTAGTCATTTTTGTCTTCTCGCTCTATTCATTATGGAGAAAATTTGTTAAAGTCTACAGCTGTGATTGTCTATTTCTCCTTACAATTTTGTTAATTTTTGATCAGTGCATTTTGGAGTTTTGTTAGATATACATGTTTAGCACTAACTTTTTTTGTCAAATGGACTTTCTTTTTTATTGTGTGTTGTCTGTCTTTTTCCCAGGTAACAGGCTCTGTCTGAGAGCTTTCTTTTGGCACAATGTATCTCCCCCCGCCCGCCCCCATCCCCGGTGTTTTTGATGTTTCTGTGTCCTTATATTTCACAGTGTCTGTTGTGAAGAAGATGCCTCTGTATGTTGTTGGTTTTTTCTTTAATCCAGGCTGACAATCTGCCTGTAAATTAGAGGATTTCATCTATTTATATGTAGCATAATTACTAATATGGTGGAGTCTAACCGCACCCTCTTGAGTTTTATTTTCTGCTTATGCCATTTGATCTGTGTTCCTTTGTTCTTCCTTTTCTGCTTCCCTTTTCTTGCTACGGGTAGATCTCTTGGTATTCGTGGATATTTCACGGTGGTCCCATCAGTGCGGTAGCCACTAGCCACAGGTACTTCGGTTGAAAATTCGGTCCCCACTTGGGTCAGTCACACTCAGGTGCCTGTAGACCCATGTGCTTGTTACCACATTGAACAGGACAGGTTACTGCAGATTATTTTGAGTCAGAATTACCCACAGTCCCATGTGAAAAGGCCAGCATTCTAGTCAGGATGTGTGTTCCTATTGTGTGTTTACTGCTTATGGGCTTGTGTGTGTAAGCCTAAGAGATGCTGCTCTTAGCCTCAGTTTTCTTTTCTAGAGCAGGCAGAGGGCTTCCTGCTCTGCTGCTGCGTGGGCGGCTCTGGAAAAGAACACTATAAAAAGGCTAACTGCGTTATAAACGCTAAAGGGGTTCTCAAGAAAACATCAACACTCCGTTCACTGTGTTTCTGTGTTTTGTTTGGGCTTTCAGGTTGCTGACAGAGCTGGAGTCCCCTTCTTGGTGGCCCTTTAGCTCCAAGCTTTGGAAGACGCCGGCAGAATCGAAGCCCAAGAGAGGCACCGCAACGGCTGGTCCCAAAGCTCTTGGAAAAGAAGGGGTGGTGGTCCGAATTCCTGCTGTTGTCTCCCAGGGGACGGGGTGCCATGTTAAAGCAGGAAGTCTCACCCTCCTTGTGTCGGGGTTGGAAATCCATGACTCAGGCTCTTTGCTCATGCACAGATTTGCAAGAGAAGATATAGATGACATTAAGGTTCACACGCCTTATGAAATTAGCATTCGCCAGCGGTTCATTGGGAAGCCAGACATAGCTTATCGCCTGATATCCGCCAGGATGCCAGAGGCTCTCCCCATTTTGGAGGTGCAGTTCAGCCAGAAGATGGAGTTGTTAGAAGGCGCCTTGATGCCCAGAAGTGCCAGAATGTCTTCCCCAGCAGAGAAGGGCTGCACCGTCTGGCAGGCGGGTGAGTGAGCTCCGGCCCGGCCTGCGCACTAGTCTCCAAGGTCGAGGTCCGACACGGCACGCCTGCAGTGCACCACTGACTGTCCGTTGTTTGTAAATGAAGACCCTCCAGACCATTCTCCCTAGTCCCAGAGCTCAGGTGTGTTTCACACCTGAGGGCTGGAAGGGCTGTCCCCGAGGTTGGCAGGGCTTGCTGGCCCTTTCAGAACAGAGGAAGGCTCCACATGAGGCTTTCCTCCTTTCCTCCATGGGACTTGCTGGCACCGACCTGCCCACCCTGCTGGGCAGCCAGTCCCTCCACCCCTGAGCGCAGCATCAGAGTCATCCTGTCCCGCCTTCCAGGGACTTGCTTACGAATCAGTCTCTGAAAACTGCGGCATACTTTCTTTGGGTCTGCAGGCCTTCCTCCTGTCCCTCTGAGTCTCTCTGTGGGAGCATGGAGCTGGGCAGTTGCAGCAGGGGTCCTGGGTCCTGGGTCCTGGGTCCCAGCCCAGGGTCGTCTGACATCCCGGGTTTGCCATCTGGACGCTGTCAGGTAGCATCTCGCTCATGTGTGTTCTCGTGTCTGTGATTGACGGTGACAGGGCGAGTCTGATGCTGCTTGCTTGTTTTCGGGCATCACGAGTTTTCTCTGAGGGTTGCCTCGTCTGTGTTTGTTTTCTGCTCTGCCGTTGCTTGGTTTTCTGGCTCTGTAGGAGTCCCTGCCATGCTGTAGCTGTGCGTCCCGTTGGCTTCGGAAGCTACCTGTCCCTCTGCCAGATTGTCATTCTCCATGACAGAAATCCTTACCTGGGTAAATTCCCCGTCAGCTTGTTTTGTGCCCAGCCTAAGAAGTCACAGAGTCACAAAATACCCTATTTACTGGTACTGTCCCAGGTGAGCTTGTGTCTGTGTTACCGTGATCCTAACAGGCCAATAGTCCTCCCTTATTATTAACTCTGAATCCTGGATGTCTGTTACAGGAGGAGTATGCTTATGACTGTTCTAGGTTCTTTTTGCTCTAAAGTGATTGTTTTTCAGTGCTAATGTGTAACCTGGTTCCCTAACACATAAATATTTTTACATTATTCTACATGACTTCGTGTTTCGAAAGAAATGTACCTGAAAATAGATGTGGTCCCATAAGCACCAAAATATCGGAAGTGTTAGTGTACAAATATAATTTTGTGGCATTTCCAGATTTTTCTCTGGCCCTTTTCTCAAGGCGGCACTGGGCAGCGCATAAAGGGGCTGAGAAGGATGGGCAGTCGCAGTGAGCCTGAGAGAGGCCCAGGCAGGACATCGGCTGCCCCCGCCCTCCCGTTTCTCTGGGAGGGGCCTGGGCCGTGAGGAGCCCCAGGGCTGGTAGCGCACCAGCTGTTCATTCTGCCAGTGCTTATGGGGAACTCCCTGGGCCAGGCACTTGCCATCCTGTTCTCACGGAGCTCCAGCACATCCGTGGGTGGTTCCAGAGAGAGGACACGGCACAGGGTGTCACGAGACAGGTGGCAGGGGAAGCACATACCATACAGGGGAGAAGAGGCTTGCTGGGCCCGCTGTGACCCTGCGTGTCCAGGTGCAGACAGGGAGGGAGGGTGGGAGGTGCATGCCAGGACTGCGGCCCCCCGGCAGGAAGCCAGGTGAGTGCAGGTTCCTCAGGGCCCGCCGTCGGGAAGGGCACACGGGCTGCACATCTTCCTCCTCAGGGAGGGCACAGACAGGCTCCCTCACAGAAGGTCAGCCGGTGCGGGGCCCTCACCACATCCTCAGACACCTTCCCAGCAGGACCTGGACTGGGAATGTGTGGCCTCACCCATCACCGTCACAGACCACGGTGTGGGTGCGGAGGGAACCGGACCACACTGTGATGACAGATGGGTGTTCACCCTGGTGCTCACTTGAGCCTCGGGGGCGGGAGCAGGGGGGTTCCCACAGTGTGTCTTGTCTACGTGGACCGAGAGGTGCCATCCTCCCTCAGTGAGGCACCCTGCCTCCGGAGTATGGGGGTATTTGGCGGGGAGGAGGGGAAGCAGGGAGGAGGCCAACACGTGGGACAGTGTCCGGCTTTCCGAGGGCTCCGCGGGAGGCCTGGGCAGGCCCTCTCTGTCTCTCCTGCTGCTTTTTGCCAGCACCGGTGTTTTCCCTCTCCCACGCTGGAAAACAGAGGCCGTAGAGGTGGAAACCATGACTTGACTTCTCAGAAACAGATGCCTCTCCTCCATAAGCCAGTTGGGTAGAATGCGTGGCCAGCAGGTGGCAGTGTTGCCACGGAACTCAGGTTTGCCTTGAGTCAGCGTCTGGAGAACTTTCCAGAGACCTCCAGTCCTGCGTGGTGGAGGTGGATCGGCCAGGGGCAGGCGCCAGGGTCTCCTGGGCTTCAGGGGCTGGGAATGACACTGGTGGACTGCATCCACCCCGGGGAAAAGCAGCGGAAAATGGCTCTTTGTGTGTACAGCACCTTTAAAGTAGGGTATTTTCAGGCTTGGGGACGAGCTGGGAGGATGGTCCCCTGCGGCTGCCATCCTCTCTGTCACAGCTAGCAAGCCTGTCCGCCTTCTCTCCAGATCCCCCCGTGCTTGCTGTCCCGGAACCCTCGTCTGGACTCCCGTGTGACCTGTGGCGGCTCCCTGAGCTCTCCTTGCTTTGAGGGTCTCAGCAGCTTGCAGGAGTTGTGCTGAGGTTTTGTAGAGTATTTCCCAGTTGCACTGTATTGCATGTTGTCTCAGGGTCCTGGCGTGACCGGTTTTAGGAAGAAGACTTCACAGCATGGCCCGTGCATAGCATTTTATGGTCTTTTTGGTACTTATTTTTGTCTTTGTTGTTTGCCAACTGCCACCTTGGAGAGAAGCCTTCTCTGACCTCCTCATTTAAGAGACAACACTCGCCCTCTGGTGGTCTGCCACACTTTCACACTGGGACATGTACTCCGTCCGGACTGGACCCAGCTGGTCTCCTGATGACCACCTCTCAAGTACCCAGAACAGCCCCTGGCATCAGGAGCACACACATCTATTTCACAGTAATACACGTTGGGGACACTGTCATTTAAGACTTGGGCTTCAAGTGGTGGAGTTCCAGTCCCAGGAAACAGACACCACGCTGACCACAGACAGGCCCCCCTCCCTACCAGTGTGGTCACTAGGACACGGATGCCACGCTGACCACTCGCAGATCCCCCACCTGTGTGGTCACTAGGACACGGACACCATGCTGACCACAGACAGACCCCCCCCCATCCATGTGATCACTAGGACACGGACACCATGCTGACCACTCACAGACCCCCCACCCATGTGGTCACAAGGACATGGACACCACACTGACCACAGACAGACCCGCCCCACCTGTGTGGTCACTAGGACACGGACACCACGCTGACCACAAACAGACACCCCCACCCATGTGGTCACTAGGACACAGACGCCACACCCACCCATGTGGTCACTAGGACACGGACATCACGCTCACCACAGGCAGACCCCCCCCCCACCGGTGTGGTCACTAGGATAGGGACACCACGCTGACCACAGACAGACCCCCCCACCTGTGTGGTCATTAGGACACAGACACTGACCACAGACCCTCCCCGTGTGGTCACTAGGACACAGACCCCACGCTGATCACAGACAGACCCCCCCACCTATGTGGTCACTAGGACATGGACACCACGCTCACTACAGACAGACCCCCCACCTGTGTGGCCACTAGGACACGGACACTATGCTGACCACAGACCCTCCCTGTGTGGTCACTAGGACACGGACCCCACGCTGACCACTGACAGACCCCCCCAGCCGTGCGGTCACTAGGACATGGGCGCCACGCTGACCTCTCACAGACCACCCCTGGCCCCTGTGGACCTTTGGGAGCTGTCGGTTCTCACCCACTTGATCTTCGGAGGACTCTTGCTTGGGTCCAAGGTACATTTGCCGAGGGCTTTACTTTCTCTCTGCTGAGTAGGCTTGCTCTCTCTCTTACCTTCCTACAGTGTTGAGGGCTTGGGCACTTGGGATTTTGTGGAAAGGGCTTCCCACCCCAGTTCTCTAAGCTTCTGGGTCTGTCCCTGGGTAAGGTAGGCATTTCCTTCCCTGTGTCATGGATGAGGCTTTCGGGTCCCAGGGACAAGGAGGAAGATGGTCCCGTGGGCAGACAGGCTTTGGGTGAGAGTGGGCTGGGGAGTTCTTGCTCGGATGCAGACCTGTCCACAAAGGACACTGGCATCTGCAGATGCCCCTGCCAGCCCAGCTGTTGTTCCCAGGAAGTGAGATCACGCGTAAGTCCCCTTGCAGCTTGAACACTTTGTGCTGATTGTGTTTGACTGTGATTATTCGTGGCTCTAGAGACAGAAACCATCTTAATCGATGTTTTCAGAAGATGGCTCACAGCGTTGAACTGAGTCCGTGACTCAGGTCTCAGTGCAGAGCACCGGGGGTGCCAGCTCCATGCCAGGTGTCATCCTGCTGGCCGTGAAAGATACCGTGACTCTGTGTATTCCGGGAAGAAAGATTCTCTGTTTGGGCTTCTGCCTCAGCAAAAGCTGTTCCGTTAAATATTCAAAGAAATATCAGCCTGTCCCTCTGGAAGATAGCTCTGGGTCTTGGAATGGAAAGCACAGCAGTGCTAAAGGGGCCCAGGGCCAGGCCCACGTGTGAGTCAGACGCGGGCCTTGGTCTCAGAGAAGCAGTGCGGTACCAAGCATGTTAATATCAGAGGTGTGCAAGCGGAATGATGGCAGGACAGACGAGGGAAGGTTGTCGCTCATGGAGCCGCAGAGTGGAGGACATGCCATCACACTTGTGCTGGGGGCCGTCTGCGTGTGTGATGTGTGCAAATGAGGAGCACGGCGGGCAGGGCCCCGGGGGCCAGGGACAGAGTGGCGGTGGGCCAGGGACAGAGGACCAGGGGGCTGGGGACAGGGTGCCAGGGACAGGGTACTAGCAGGCCATGGATGGGGAGCTAGGGATGGGGACTGGGGATGGTGTGTGAGCCTCCAAGGATGGGCTGCCAGGCTGGCTGGAGCAGGAGTCCATGAGCCTGGGGAGTAGAAAGCAGGGAAGGGGAGGGCCAAGGCCAAGTGGGGAGGTGGAACCAGTGTTTGTCATCGCATTAGCACCAAGGACTGGTTAACGTCGTGGGCATGGGTTGGCCTTTTCTTGAGGCTAATAATAGCTGGTAGTTCACGTCTGCGTTTGCTATTTCTGCCATCATGTCTTCCAGCTCGCTCTGACGGTTTCAGAAAAGTGCTTGTCGTTGTGTAACGTTTTAGGTAGTGACATTTAGATCCCTTGAGGCTGAACAGTGCTGATTTGCGTGCTGCAAAAGTTCCTTGCTAATGAAAAGCCTTTAGGGAGCCAGACTGGGACAGAGCTTTGAGGTTTTAGAACACAGGTTGTGACATCAGTTTGCTGGGCTGCGATCAGCTTTTATTTTTCTTACAGAAGGACGTAGACGAGCAGACATCCGTGTGCATGGTGTACAGTAGGGGTTTTCTCTGGCTGCCTGAATACACCTGCGGTGTGGCGGGTCTCTGTAGGCTTTCCCAGGGCACACACACAGCAGAGGGGCTTCTGCACACCGCCTCCTCCAGCAGAGGCAGGCTGGGACCTGGGGTCCTGCCTCTGCACAGCTCTTGCTCACGCACCAGTCCCCAAGCTCTGCATCGGGCCTGGTCCCTCTTCCGCTGCAGGACCCTGAGAACCCCGTGTCTTCCTCGCTCCAGCCTGCATCTCTCCTGGACGAGGCCAGGCTTTCTTTGCTCGGCCAGGCCGTCTTCAGGGATTACTTTGAGAAATGAGCATAGCAGGGGTATATCTGTGCGCCGGGAATGGCCAGTCGGGCTCCTGCTCTTCAGGCCTGGTCCTTCCTCTCCTGATGGTGTGTTCATCACGCAGCTCTGCTCCCTGCCGCCAGGGTCCTATGGGCCCTCTGGGCCTCCCGTTGCTCAGGACCAGAGACGTGCTCAGAGGAGCTGGTCCGGCCTCCGGACAGCCATCTGCCTCCCGGCATCGCTGTCCATGGACGTGGCTGTGCTGTGTCCTGGGGGAGGCGCAGGCCCTTCTCTGGGCCCTGTGGTGCCAGGGTTGGGGTTCGAGTCAGCGCTTGAAACAAAGGACGGGTCGCACACCACGGCCGCTTCCAAGATCCCCTTGGTTATCACTGCATCTCCAGGCTGCCCTTCCACCCTTTGGGGAGCCTGGCTAGGTGCAGGTGCCCTGTGCCTGGGAACACCCCTGAGCGGGGTCTGGCCATGTGCAGGGCTCTGACGCACCCCCGCATCCGTGCAGCCACACAGCCAGCGTGGCTTGGCCCAGCCCGCTGGCCCTTTCCTGCACTCAGACAGCCTCAGCACTGTGTGGGGGACAAGATGATGCCGCGGTTTCCAGCAGGGTGTTCTGTGTGCGTTTCTCCAGGCTCCCACCTATAGCCCTTTGCCCCAGAGAAGAGAAATGTCCGCACACGGATGAAGGCCCTTTCCTGCGAGAGCAGTTATGGAGCCAAACCCAGAGCCCAGTCCGTGCTGCTCCGATCAGAGCAGGGTGTGGAGGCAGCGTGGGCAGGGGTCTGAGGGCACATAGGCAGCCCCTACCCCAGCTCAGCATAGCAGAGCCGAGTCCTGCCAGACCGTGGGTGAGCTGGAAACACTGCATCTGTCCGGAGAGCCCTGCCGGCCTCCCATGGGAGGTCTGAAAGTTCTCCCGTGGTTCACACGTCCAGACGATGTCACTGCCCTTTGGTTTTCCATTCCAGCGTCTGGGCTGATGGACCATGCTGTGCACCGCGAGCCCTGCTTGGCGAGCCAGGAGGCCCAGCTGCTTCCACTGCAGATGAGTGGGCCGCTGGTTTCCGACGGGGAGGCCCAGGAGCTAAGACAGGTACTGTGCACTCACGGGGCCACTGTGCCCCTGCATGGGGCTCCTGCCTGCCTGCACACGGCTCCCTGCTGCTTGATGCTGGCCCCTCATCAACAGGGCCTGCCGTGTGCCCACCCGCTTTGTTGTCCTCTCTGGAGCTGGAGAACATAGAGCAAGAGCGGTGCCCAGTCCAAGCTCCTGTGTTTCCTGGCATGCGCATGCGCTCGGCCTGTGGCTGCATCCCCCTTTAGAGTGTGTGCATGTTCCCATGTACATGTGGGCTGTGTGAGTGCGGGATATGCAGGCACATGGTGGCTTTCTGTGCATGTGTGTGCCGTCCCCGTGTGTGGTCGAGGTACATGTGTGCACGTGTGTGTGCTCTGTGCATGTGCTGTGTCCATGTAGGTGTTTGTGTGCATAGTGTGCGTGCATCCATATGTGTATTGTGCTTGTATGTCTGTCTGTGTGCATGTTGTGCATGTATATCCGCGTTTGTGCGTGCTGTGCGTATGTCTCTCCATGTGTATTCTGTGTAATTGTCCACGTGCGTGCTGTGCCTGTTGCGTGTCTGTCCGTGTGTGTGCATGCTATGCATGTGTCTATCTGTGTGTGTGCTGTGTGTGTATGGTATGTGTGTCTGTCTGCGTGCACGCTGTGCATGTGTGTGTGTCAGTCTGTGTGCGTACTATGCATGTTGCGGGTCTGTCCGTGTGTGTGCATGCTATGCATGTGTCTACCCATGTGGGTGCTATGTGTGTGTCTGTGTGTGTACTGTGCATGTGTCTGTCCGCGTGCACGCTGTGTGTCCGTGTGTCTATCCGTGTGTGTACGGTGCCTGTGTCCCTGTGCGTGCTGTGTGTGTTGCGGGCCTGTCGTTGTGTGGGCTCCACAGGTACACGTAAACACGTACAACAGAACATGCTCACTCTCCGCGGTGTCTCTCAAGGGCCTGACAGTGGGTTCCTGAGGATGCTTGCCACTGTGTGTCCAGCAAGTAGAAATCGAAACACTGTTTGATAGAACTACGTTCGGGTGCTCTTCAGCCTGTGGCCGGATGGTTCAGTGCTGCTGCTTTTTCCTTTTCAAGTAGTTCTGAAGTAGATGCCTAGACATTGTGTCCCGTCACTCACGCAGACCTCCGTGCACATCTTTAGAACGTAGAAAATGTTAAAAAGCCCCACGCCGCGCTGTGCTTGCCTCAGGTCATCAGACACCAGCTGTCTGGTTCAAGGACACGTGCTGCGTGTTTGTTGGCTCACAGCCCGCTTGAGGCCTGTGCCGGCCGCTCAGCGAAGACCGTCTTAGGGTATGGCTTCCCTCTGTCCTTGCCGTTTGCTTCTCAGTGTATTTGTAGGGAAACTCCGTTGTTTCTCCGTTGAGATTTTGGTTTGCCCTGGTTCCTTGCTCAGGGGTTCTGCGGATCCAGGCTCTGCGCGAGGAGGCCCTGTCCTCATGGTGCCACAGACTCCCACCAGGGCACAGGGGGACCGTGTGGCTAACCACATGTTTTTAAAGAAGTCTTCCCGACGTGTCTGCATCAGCATTGCCTCCTTTAGGCTTGGCCCTTTCCTTTCTGGAAAAAAGCACTCATCTTTGCTATGGGATATGTTAAATATGCACGATTTGTCACTCTTTCCCCGGTCTAACTTAGTCACTCTGAGTGACGACCCACAAAAACGCTGCTTCCTCTCTGCAGCCAGCAGCTTCTGCAGCTTACTAACCCCAGAACATGGCTTGGGGGCTTGACAAACCCTCGTCCTCTGCAGGAAGCGCTCCCCTCTCCTGAGGGTGGATGTGAGCCAGCATGCCTCAGGTTGGTGGGATTGGGGGCCCTTTGCCCACCCTTGTGCAAAGGCATCCCATGGCTTTGTGTGGGAGATGTCAGGATTCTCTCTGTAAATTCTGGTGGAGGCTGTGCAGCTTGAGAGGGCCCTTGTGTCAAACCAGCGGTCTCTGCCCTACGAGTTGAGACGGCAGCAGTCGTGATGAAGATACGAGCTGCTGTGTGCACGAGAGAGTGACCGTGGGGCCGGCCCTGAGCCCTCTGCGTTCATGCTGGGAGCAGCAGAGGCCGCGAGCAGGACACTGAACGCAGGCCGGGGAAGTGGCGAACCCTGAGTCGTGGGGTTGGGGCGTGCCGCCGCGGGAGAGCAGGGATTCACATCGGCTGGCTGCCCGTCCTGCTCCCTGCAGGACAGTGCAGTCCGCCCAGAGACGGTCTCCTGAAGGTAAAACACATGGTTCCTATTTAGAGAAGAATTCTTAGCTGTGCACTTGAAGCTCTAGCATAAGTAGGAATGAGGTAAATTTCTGGGGAAAACAGAAATGTAAGAACCGCCCCCCCGTTCCGCTGTGGTTTCTGTGGTGGATGCCGTTACCGTCCTTACGTGGAAATGGGTCCTGGTGACTTGCCCTGCAGTGGGATGCTGAGAGACGCGACTGGCTGTGGTTGCCCCGGGGCCAGTGTGCTCCCTGCCTGTGCCAGCTCCCACCACACAGAGCCTCGGCAGCCGTCACTGCAGCGTCTGCCAGCCACGGGGAGGGCGTGTGGTGTCGGTGGCCGGAAAGGAAGTGGATGTGCTGGGATGGGTTTGGCAGAGCGCCCTGAACCCTCTCTGGTCTGATGTGCCCGTCCTGCCTCGGAGCTGCTGCTGCCGCTTCGTTACGAAATCTGTGTCTGTCCCCGCCCCTGGTTATGTCGCTCCTGTTGCCTCAGGGCATCCCAGTGTCCCCAGCTTCTCTCCCAGACTTCTCCCCTCACTGCTCTGTCCCGTCCCGCCTCTGCCTTTCCGCACCCCAGACCTGAAGAAACAGTGAGCACGGCATAGGACGGGGGCCGGTAGGCGCTCCTGTCCTTCACGGGCGCTCGGGGCGTCAGGTCGCGGTCCCTATGGCGGGGGCGCGGCACGGGGACCCGGGGCTTCGGGTTGCAGCCTCTGTGGTGGGGTGGCGCAGGGACCCCGGGCGTTGGGTCGCGGTCCCCATGGCGGGGGTGCAGCGCGGGGCCCCAGGGTTCAGGTCGTGGATTTGGACTTACCTGAGCTTAGGCAGCGCCGCCATTGTGCCGTCCACGTGTGATGCTCCATAGGCAGGAACCACAGAGCCCAGGATCCGGCAGGGAGACCGAGGGTTGGTTCACAGATGGCGCAGCTCGGGCTCGTGGCGGGAGGGAGCACAGGAGCAGCGCGAGGTCCCGCATGCCCTCTGCCTGTGCCTTCTCCTGCTGGTGCCGGCCGAGTGCTGGGATTCTGCAGAGCTAGTGTCTCGTCCCCGTGCAGGAGGAGCAGAATTCCTTTCACGCCAGCTCTCCTCTCCCGTGTCTATAGCCAGTGTTCAAGCCTGTCCTAGTGCCCGTGAGCCCCTCCCGGCCTTTCTCCCATGCCACCTTGACGCAAGAGCATCGGGCTTAACGCATTGTTCTTCGCTTCAAAATTAATGTCTTGTCCGCGTCGCACTTTCCCTGGCCTGGGCGTGTTAACATCGCAGGAGCGACCGAGCTCGGATTTTTGGATGGCTGCCCGCGCAGAGTCCCGGGGCGTCACACCAGCCGTGGAGCCCGCCTCCCTGCTTCCTGTCGTAGCGATGGCAGGACAGGCATTCCAGAATTGACACGTCCCTGGAAGAGGGGTTGGCTGTGCGGGTAGCTGGGTGACGGCGGGCTAGGGCTGATGCCTTCCAGCCCTGGGAGGGCACGCAGGTGCCTTGCTGGAGGGGGCTCTGCGAAGAGCCACTCATGTCCACAAACCCACCGACCCGCACCTTCGTGCCAGGCAGGGGGACAGGTCCTGTGAGCTGTTTTCCATGTGGTTCGTTCCTTTCATTACTCTCCGGGCACAGTAAAAAGGGGAGGAGGTTGTCAGCGTTTGTGCTTGTGGCTTTAATACCAGTCCAGGTGTTACTCACAAGTGTTCGTCCTGTCCTGTGTCATCTGTTAAACCATGAGAGGAGCCTGGGTCATGGGGATGAGGGGCCTTGTCGCTTCTGACGTCTGTGGCGGTTGACATTTCAGCGAGAGGACACGTGTCGCAGGAGGAGCCCTGCCCTGTCAGCCCCAACATCCCTGGGGGGGCCGCGTGCCTCCCTGGCCCAGTCCCCGCCTGCCGCAGAAACGTCCACAGTGACGCAAGCTGACTCACGGGACAACATCATGGGTTTCCCATCTGCTGTGCCATTACCGTGGTCACTGGTAGCGTCGAGCCTGCTGTCACGCCCCCCACCCCGCCCCGGCCCCCTTTGGTTTCCTGTGCACCCCTCCCCTGGGCTGGGCTGCTGCAGGGCTCATGTTCTGTCAGCTGTGGCCCCACTGCAGGGCAGGCCTGTGTGCTGTCTGGGGCTGGTGGGCCCCCACCCGCTCTGACCGAGCTGGGACAGAGCTGGGCCGTACGAAGGCACGGACCACAGGCTGTCCCTCTACTGTCGCAGAAACACGAGCGGGGTGGGAGTGCCAGATGAGGGGCCTTAGGGTTCCAGAGATTCCATGACTCAGCGAGCATCTTCAGAGCGCTGCAGGGCTGTGCAGGGAGGAGGGCAAGGGCCTGTGAGGGCCAGGGAGCGGACGCCGTCCCACCTTCCTGAAGTGCTCACCTCTGCTCTGCGGGAGTCTTACTGTCGAGCGCCCGGTTGTCTTCTAGAATGCTGATTTTAGGGTGCTGACTGCTGCCTTTCCACCCAGCGACGGCACGCGAGTGCCGTGCTGTGCCCTGCCCCAGGTGGCCTTCTCTCTGCCACACACATGACCTCTCAAGCCCGGCTGTCCTCACTTCCCGCTGTGTTTTCAGGCTGATCTGTCTTTCCTTTCACAGTGCAGTGGTGCATACTGCAGGGGGCTCGCTGTCCGCAGTGGTCGCGCAAACGCCACACATGGCATCTGTGGGTCACGTCTCTGCTCCTCGGGGGCGCATAGCATGCGCAGGGTGGAATTGCTCCGTTTGGGATAGTTCCACGTGGAGCGGCAAGGCTGCTGTCCATAACGGCCACAGCGTTTCACATTCCCGCCGGCGACGGATGAGGGAAGTGAGTCC